CTTCCCCTGCCATGCCAGCCAAGCCACACCCACCAAGTCACAACACGCCCACCAAGCCACGCCCATAGAACCAATAGTAAAAAAACAGAGAATTTCACCACGGTGGTAAACCTGGAAGCATTCAAAGATGGGGAGAGCATAAGGTCTACTGCGAGATGGAAAGTTGGAGGAGCCAAAGGAAGCAAGGAATGACTTTGAGGGTAAGGGGTGGTTTACCTTGCCAGCTTTGGCTAAACTGAAGGAGATTCTCTTCTTGCTGCAGCGGAACACGCCTGTCTTTCGGATCCTTGCCACAACGGAGGAAGCTGCCTTGAGACCCCTACTGGATTTGAATGTGTCTGTGCTCTAGGCTGGGCAGCACCAACCTGCATGCTTAGTAAGTGAATTGGAATGCTAAAGCTTTAACCTCTCTCGCCTCCTTAAGTGTCACAGAAATTTCCAAGTGGTTCTTAGTGGTTACTAGTGTCAGAAATCATGCCAATTACCAAAAACACAGTACCGGTTTCTACCTTTTAAAGATTCTCCGTTAAGAAATTCCTAAATCCTTAAACTGTTTATTTGTTGCTCCTGCATCTTGCCAGTATTATTTGTGAGTCTGGATGAAAAGAAAACCAGAGCATGTTCTTCTGCCTCATATGTGTTATCCTTTCAGTTCCAGTGTCCAGTGGACAAGTAAAAATTGTACATCAGGAGAGATTAGAACTGCAGTTAAGGACAGATTAGAACTGAAAAGCAGAGCTTGGCAGTACTTTGGGATAGAATCCCAGAAAAAGATGTTTTGGGATATGCAGGAATGCGAAGGAAAATAGAATGGCGCTGTTTCTTGTTTATTAAAATTATTATAAGGAAAATTATTGTAATAAAATAATGTGTGCAGAACCTCCCAGGTTGGTTTGGGAGATATTAGTGTGTGAAACCCTGGGGAGTCCTACTTAGGGCTGAGAGTACAAGGCTGGAAGGATTGAACTGATAATAAGACAGCTCTCTGTGTTTTCCTGGGCCTCACTTGAACTTCTCCCAAGTATAAATTGAATTCATTGGAATCCCTTTCAGACTTGAGTTTCTAATCCTGGCACTTAAAAAGCAGGACAGGAATGGTTGTTGGGGTTTTTGTGTGTGTGTGTGT